GAAGGCCGAACATGGAAGGTGTGGTGCGTTCCATCCCTCTGGAGTGGGTGGTTGGCGGGTGCTCTGGTGTGGTTTGCTCTTTGTTTCCTATCAAACATGTATCGTCCTGAGCTCTCCTCCTTCTTTTTTTGTGTTTGTTACTCTCTTGTAACCCCTCTAATCTTCGGCACTTATATGACCTTATTGTGTTGCAAATGCCGTAAAACCCTTACTAAAACTAATCCCTCCGGCGAGCTTGGGCATAAAACTAGTATTCTCCTGACCAACTACCAAAAGGGAGCACAATTCTCAAGCTGAAGAGGCGCTACCCATACGTCACTCCGTGTTTCCCCTTGTGGAAGTGTTATAAAATTTTAAAAAATAGCGTCTTTTCAGAGACATCGTGCATTGTCGTTTTGTCCAATATCTTTTTGTGTGAATCTGTAGACTTTCTGAACTCACGTTCTACAAAGGGAGATAAAAGAAATATGAATGAGTTACATGAATGAACACATGAATGAATCAGAGAGTAAAGGAACCCAAAAAACAAAACCAAAAAAAAGATAATGATATTCTTGGATTTGGCAATGCGAATTCCAGCTAGGTACTGGTTTCCGCTACCTGGCGCGCCTTTCTTATCGTAGATGACGCGATATGTTTTTGTAAAAACATTGAAATCTCATCTGGGAAGATAGCGGCAAGCTATCGTATTCCGACGGCGAATCGTTACCTCAGAACTACAAAGTTTTATCTGCTCAATATCTAGTTTTGAGAAATCTGACGTCAAAGGTTTTTAGTTTCACAATATGTCAATTTTTATTATTTTTCGAATGCAATGATTTGAATATCTTGATAACGACTCCGAATATTCAACCGATTTTTGTATAGCAGATAAAGCATTTGCTTTCTGACCTCATGGTCTTCGTAACTCAAAACGGCCCAAAAAAATGTTAGATAGAACTTTATAATTCCGAGGTAGCGAAATGAGAAGAAAAGTTGCTGTTCGGGGATTTTTCCTTTTTTTTGGCGCTCGTTTAGAAATTAAAGTCTTTGAATTACGAGGAAAGCTCGCAACAGACTGCTGCACAATCCTCTGCGGACAGCTGTACACAGGTGCAAGGCAAGTTTTAATTAAATTATTTGCGACATGCTCCGGGGGTGCTTATGAATGATTTTTCCCACCCCTTTCCGTTCCTCTTCCTCTTAACTCTTAACGGCCTGTTTTTATTTTGTTTGCTTGCACCCCCCTTGGAGGAACGATCGTGTTCTGCGCTCCGTGTGAGCTATCAAGGATCAGTGTACGTTTTTGAAAGGTTGTAAGGGTAGATCTGAAGGAGGTGCTGTGTTGTGGAGTATCCTGTTTTAAAGAGGAGATGTGATAATGATCCTTTCGTGGTGCGAGGGCTTTGTTGTTATCGCCCCTTGTGTTGGCGCGTAATTTGGCGGAAGATCATAGAAAACCCGGGAGGTGCTGTAATAGAGGCAGGAGAAAGAAAGTTTCAGGTGGATGATGGGGAAGATGTGTTCAGATTAGGGGTACTTTGCGTATTATCGCGGTTAGGGAGGCAGATTGGGAGGTGGAATTTAAGTTGGAAAGGAAACTATTCCCTCCGTGTTGTTGATGTTTGTGTTCGTAAGGGGGGCGTGGTGTGGTTTATTTTTTACAGAGACTGATGATAATGATGATGAGGAGGAGGAGGAGGAGGCATGCGTTTATGGTGGTAGTGAGAAAGAGAAGGAGAGAGAGCGAGAGAGAGAGAGAGAGATAGATAGAGAGAGAGAGAGAGAGAGAGGAACAGA